CCTTTTTTTTTTTTTTTTTTTTTTTTGTACATTCAACGTACGACGATTACACATCTACTGAACCAGAAGAAGATGAGATGTAGAAAGGATAAATGTGATCTGATAATTGGAGGACTAGTGTTAATTGTGAGCAGTTGGGTAATGGGAGTAAAAGGGTCGATCCATGAGTACAAGAATGAAGCTTTTATTCCTCGTTTTAATTCATTCTTCTTCCATGGTGGTAGTGAAGGTCTTTATGCTTCTAAGGTGCAAGATTCTCCCCTTCCTCTTTCTGATGACACCAATAATAAACCCCTTACTGGCAAGTCTTTCATCAGGTACCCAATTTTTGTGTTTTTCCACTTTATACATTTGGCTATTTTTTTCAATTTTGAGAATTTATTGTTGTTTTGAAACTTGTAGATGTAGGTGTGATCCTGAATCAAAGCTGGCTAGAAAAATTACAAGGAAGAAACTTGAGATTCTACTAGATTTGAAATGAGGATTGCAAAAGTTATTGAAAATAAGGAGATGGTTTGTGAATGCAATTTTACAAAGTGAATGAGTTAGGTAGATAAATTTATTCTGGAAAAGTATGTCCAACCAGACTTTTTAGTGTGCCAGCAAAAGTTATTGAAAAAATATGGGTGATATGTACATATTATTTGCATAGCACATTTGACACTCAAAGAGATTAAGAATGCAAAGTGTGGAACACGAAAGTTATGTTAGTTAAGCAATTGGTAGGGATCAATGTTCTTCATGGAAATTATTTTCTTAAAAAAATATATTTGACCTGGAAATCAATTTATGGATCATTTTTCAGAAGAAGTAACTACACATTGCAGCAGGTTTTCTCAACCATTTATGTTAGATTACAGTAAAGTGGGAGATTTTCCATACAGGACAATAGTGTTTTATTCAGCAATTGAGGAAGCTGCGATGGGTCTTTGCAAACTTCAGTCTATATCTATTTATGTGCTATATTTAAAAAAAAAAAGAACTCACTTATTAACTTCTATTAATTACACGGTTACGCCCCCCCATTCTTCCTCATCCTCGCCACTTCCCCTACAATTGTAACTTCATTACTAAAATTCTCTCCATCTATTAATCATCAGTGTTGGGTAAGGTGATTAGATATGACATGGCACATCTTCAACTTACCGAGGACATGATCCTATCTGTGTGGAGGTCAAGGATTAGGGTAGAAGGTTAGTAGGTAGTCGAGGAACGTTGACTCACGTTCTTGAGAGTGAGAGTGAGAGTGAGAGATAGGTGACAGTTTGGAGCACGTTATCTACTCCTCCTTCTACATATTAGTAGTATTATTATTATTCTCGTATTATCCTATTCTGAATTTCTTTATATTACCTGTTGTTTCCTTTGCGTCGGTATCTTATTATTTTGTTGTCGTTATTGTTTATTTTCTCTAGTATTTTCAACATGGCTTCTTTGCTAAAGTTTTTTTTCAAACTTGCTTTGTTTTTTCTTTGAGCCGAGGGTCTATCGAAAACAGCCTCTCTACCTTACACAAGATGGGGGTAAGGTCTGCATACACCCTACCCTCCCCAAACCCCACTTGTGGGATTACACTATGTATATCATTGTTGTTGGTTGCATATAAAAGTTGATGGCATAAAATAATTCTACAAATGGTAGGGTCAGCATTAGGATAGTGTTTTGATGAGACTTTTTATGGTTAGAGATTGACAACAACTCTGAGGTGAAATAAGTCATATGGAGTAGAAGTTTGGATATTTTTAATTAGCCGAAAGTTTCAAGATGTTTTCCAGAAATAAAATGTTTTGATATTTGTCCTCGCATGACCAAGTTCTTCTCTATCTTTAATAGATTGAACTGAATTCGCTATTGTCTTTATGATGGCTGTTGTGTTTTATAAATAGAATGTCCAAAATATGTGATGAATAATTTTAGTGACTCATTGCTTTCTTGCATAATGATTTCAGGTTTGAGACAATCACCTTTAGAAGAACAAAGGAGGCTGCAAATAAGCAAAATGAGATGCAGCAGAGTACTGGAATTGTTGAAGCCATAATAGTCGAGGTCAAAGACAGGAATATGATTGGAGGATCCTATCTTAATTCCGAGGCAATATGTTGCACCCCTGCTCTTGCCAAGGATGGATCCTGCAAGGTAGGAGAGGTTATAATCCATCAAGATTCTGAGAACCCTGGGTGGCCAAAGCGGATTCAGACGTCCTTTGAAGGAAACAATGAAGAGGCTAATATGGTACTCCAGACTGTCGAGATCAACAAGACTGGAATGTATTATCTCTATTTTATGTTCTGCAATCCAGAACTCCAGGGGACATTAATTAGTGGTAGAAGTGTTTGGAGAAACCCAGAAGGCTATCTACCTGGGAAGATGGCACCACTAATGACATTTTATGGTTTGATGTCTCTAGCGTACCTCATTCTTGGTCTCTTGTGGTTTTTACGTTTCGTACAACACTGGAAGGATATAATACAGTTGCACTATCACATTACTGCCGTGATAGGTCTTGGAATGTGTGAAATGGCTCTTTGGTATTTTGAATATGCAAATTTTAATGCCACAGGTAGCAGGCCAATGGGAATTACCATGTGGGCTGTTACCTTCAGTGCTATAAAGAAGACCGTCTCACGTTTACTTCTTCTAGTCGTTTCAATGGGTTATGGTGTTGTACGGCCCACACTGGGCGGTATAACCTCAAAGGTACTTCTTCTGGGTGTGGTATACTTTCTAGCTTCTGAAGCCTTGGAGCTGGTTGAACATTTGGGAAATATCAACGACTTCTCCGGAAAAGCGAGAATCTTTTTGGTGTTACCTGTTGCTTTATTAGATTCCTGCTTCATTGTATGGATATTTTCCTCATTATCCAAAACTTTAGAGAAGCTTCAGGTGATAAAAACTTTCTTTCTCTGTATTCTGTTAGTTAGAGATTGGTTAAAAATACTAATAAGAAATACAAGATGGTTGATCAGTTATATACTGCCATATTCTCTGCTTTCTGAATCTCATTTTGCTCAAACTACAAGATAATCGCATTTTCATCATAAATATACTCTTTTTTCTTTTGAATTGTTTGGCGGATACCTGATGCCTTTAAACTCTGGTTGATGTATAGTTGATTGCAAATGCACTTATGTTGGAGATATAGAGAATCTCAACAATTGCACTGATCTTTGATTCCATCATAGTTCATTACTCTCTTTAAGTCTTCCTAACCCAAGGAGAAGTTTTATAAAATTTCAACAGTGTACGTTTTGTTTTTCTCTTTTTTTGACTGGAGAGTGTTGGTTTTATTCAATGTGGGAGGAAAACACAAACATCCTTGTATTGAATCTGAAGGCTTCCTTCTTTGCCCATGTGTACCTCAGATTCGTAGAAGCGTGGCCAAGCTTGAACTGTACCGAAAGTTTACCAATTCTTTAGCAGTTTCAGTTCTGCTCTCTGTTGCTTGGATTGGCTATGAGGTATTCTTTATCGTTCTATTCCCTTTCTCTTTCCTCAATATTATAAGTCTCTTTTCTTGATTACTCTCTGAAATTAATATATTTGTTTATGCAGTTGTACTTTAATGCAAGTGATCCATTGAGTGAATTGTGGCAAAGAGCCTGGATTATCCCTGCTTTCTGGACCATACTAGCATACTTGCTTTTAACGGTGATATGCATTCTCTGGGCTCCTTCGAATAACCCAACCAGGTGAATAATCCTTGTCCCCTTCCTTTTCTTGTCAGTGCAATTAGTATAGCTTGCTTCTATTGTTACTGGCCGAAGATTACTGCAAATGGATTGAGGATTAAGACATACTTCTAAATGTGTTGCATGTTAGTGATGGCTATTGATTCATTTATAAATGGAAAGCATGGTACATATGCATGACTAGCTGTGAGTATGTGATTGTTGCTGTAAATTGAGTCTTTTGCTTACAGAAGAAAATGATACTGCACTGTCCATTATCAGTGAATATAAGAGATCTATATTGAGTATGGGAAGACAAAGTGCCCAGAGTAACAAATATTCGTTGCCTTCAATATGTGGAGTTGGATGGAAAATAGGACTTGTTTGGAATCATTTTTAGCTGTTAATATTTATCTGTATAAATAGTTTTTGCTGAATTTGTTTTGTTTTTGTTTTGCACGAGTATAACAATGTGAGTTTAAAGATGTTAGTGGTTCTTTTGATATTTCTCTCCTAAATTGACAAGTTATATTAAAATGAATGAGCATTACTCCTTTCCTATTAGTTTGAACATGCTAAGCGAAAGTAAAATGCTGTCCTTAAGGGGCAAAACTTATATCTTAATTAATTGAAACAGAAAACAGTATTTGCATTTACACATTATAATGCATTTCATGTATAAAGTGCACCTGCTGTAGAGTTGACCTTTCCAATTGTTTTCTACTAATTATTAGAAAAATATTTCCTTTCTAATTATCTCCCAATAAGAAGTTAAATGACCGATGTTTATAATTAAAATTTGTGCCAGATAAAATGACCAGGATGAACTCTTGAAATGCCAAAATCGTTGATGTCCTCGGTTTAGCATCTCCAAATTGAAAGGAAATTTGTCATTATTTGATTGTCTTCTAAAAAAAATTATTTCATTAATTTGATTTGTAATTTCCAATAAAGATTTCATAAAAATGTGCATCGCTTTACTCACAAATGTTTTAGTATTTCCACTCTCACCTTGTTTCAAATATATCATAACAAAGATATGAGAAAATCTTCTTTTGATTTCCTTTTGCTCTAATAATCACATTTTCTGTAAAATCATATGTTTAGATTAGGGGTGGAAAAATGGTTCAAAGAAAACAGTTAACCACCCATATTATCCACTAAAAAATGGGTTGGATAATGAACTTTTTAAAAACGGGTCAAATATGGATTAGAACCATATTATCCCTTTAAAAAATGGATAACCAATAAGTAACCAATGGATAATCAATGGGTCTAACTTTTACATTTGTAAAGCCTCAAATTGGAGGTTCCTCAAGTTAAGGAGACTAAGAATTCTCCCAAAAGTGATCATATACAAGAATTCATAGATAATACGGGTAGCCCATATTATCTGTCGGTTAACCCGTTTTTTATCCGTATTAAATATGGGTCGGGCCGGATAATTGATCCGTTTTTTCATCCCGTTTTCGATCCGAACCATATCCGACCCGCCCCGCCCGTTTACTACTCCTAGTTTAGATCTTCAGAGCAAAACTAAGAGTCTCTGGGTAAATACCAAAGAAAATAATCTACTATAGATTACACTCTTACACCCCATAATAAGGCGATTGGAATTGATTAATAGCCAATAAAATATAATATTTTGTCTCCATCTTACACTGTAGTGAGTCGTTCAATTCAACAAATAAATTTGACCACATTACATATGCCTGATTTTCCTTACAATATTTTTTTACTCTATGTAGCTTCCATTTATTCTAGCATCATTCACTAATAATTAATATCACTAATAACATTGATATAAGACATTTTGTTCGAACAATATACATAAACAACTCTTATTCACATGTTAATTTTAAATATTTCATTAAAAAGGTAAAAAAGTTATAAAAATTGAATAGAATATTACAAAATAAAAATGAAATGAACGATAGTCTAAACGGGGCGGGGTAGGGCAGGGTAGGGCTTGATAGGGCGGGGCAGGGCAAATTCTGGAAAAATGCTAAATAGGCCCTGCCGTACCCCAATTGCCATCCCTATGAACCTTCGACATCTTTCATGTACCTTCCCAACTCTTCTAAGATTAGGCAAGTCCAACCTTCCTTGTTTCTCTTACTTATTTAAGGTCTAGTTTCGATGAGTTTTGATGGATCTGTAGCATATATCCTCTTGTGTTGCTGGTGGTGACTGCTTTTTACTTTGCAAAAGAAAAGATAATTTTATTTTATATCTTGTGTTTCTCTCGCTCATGCAAAGTTTTGGTTCGTCTACAAATTCCTTGGTCTGCTGGGGTTAGTCCTTTATTTGTTAGGTTTTTCTGAAAATAGTCTCTAATTTGGTACCTCTTCACAATTTTACAGATACGCATATTCAGGGGAGACTCTTGATGATGATGAGGAGGGTCTGTCCCTCACAGGCAGTGGAGTAATAGTGGGAGGAGATCTTGTGTCTAAACTGGAAAGGAAGGAGAGGAAGGCATCTATTGCAGCAGATCATGTGTTTGGGCTAGGAGAAGTTGTTGAGGAGGATAAAAGAGAATGATGCCATTCATTTCGGGTTGTTCTTTCACTCGTTCATTCAGGGACACAGAAGTTTGCCCAAATAATATTTATACCTCCTTTTCTTTTCCTGTTTTTCGTAAAAGACCAGACTGAAATACATGGCGGTTGGAAATTAGCAAGTCGGATCGGAGATCCAAACAACATTGCAGGGAAGATTGGCATCTCTCTGAAGCTTCTTGTCTGAAGAATAGCCAGAGAAAGCCAGCAGGTGAGCTTGGCATTGAAGTCCAGTTCTCAGAGGCAATCACAATTTTAGGCTTAGTAATTGAAACTTCATACGTGATGTGAAGTCGATTAGGCTCCATGCTAATTTAGAGGATGCAAAAGACCCTTGTGGTCAGTCATGTGATAACTAAAACTTCAAATTCAATTGTCAATGCTTACTTATTTTGTGCTATAATACTTTTGTATTGTCGCTTTCCTTTTTAGGCTTGAGGTACTCGTTGCTGCAGCTCTTGGTATACCAATCTGATGAGCCTTATATGCATAACCAAGAAGGGGAAAAGGAAGCAAAAAGAGCCTGCAAGAAAAAAGAAAAAGAAATGGTAAACTTAGTTTAAGCTAAAGCATCATATCATCAGTCTGCCTCATGTTTGGTTTGATGATGATATAATAACCAAGCTGAATTTTATAAAGAGTAGTAAGATGGATATTGTGAAAAGTACCTAAGAATAGGAAGATCAAATAAACTCTCGTGTGCAACAGAGTGTTCAAATATGTATGGAGGAGAGAATGAAACCTGAAAGTCTGATCATCTGAAATGCCTAGATGAAAATATGCTAAGATGAATCATGAATGCATGAAAAAGTCTCACTTGGTCATCATCATTTGTATTTCGATCCCATTAATTCTTTTTAGCTTTTTGTTATATTTTCTTCTTTCCTCTTTCCTCTTTCCTCTTTCCTCTTTCCTCTTTCCTCTGTATCTTTTTCTTCTTCTCCTACTTCATCCTTCTGCATTTTTTTCTCTTCTTTCATATTTTCCTTCTTTTTCTTCCAATAAATTATGACACAGCTAAAATTAAAAAATAATGAAATGTGATATAGAAAATTGAAGATTCATTACTTATTTGTAATTAAAATTAAGTAGGTAATATTTCATTGAACTTATATTGTCTGTCTTTGATGATTTGAATTAGTTTGGTTGAGAAAATAAAGAAATACCATTGTTGGTTTTTGTTCGAGCTTGAAAAAAAACTTTTTGAAGAAGAAATAGTGAATTTATTGATTTTTGAAGGTTTATGTTTAATCTAACCATTGAAGTTGAAATTGATATTGGAGGGTTATATATCAAATTTGAAGTCATTTGAAGTTGATTTGGGTCATTCTTGAAGCTAAACATATTGGTGAATTTTTCGCATGGCAACTATGTCAATGGTCAGAATTTATGGCCAATTATGACGATTTACCAAAATATTTTGCAAATCAATTATGATGGTGGTATGAACTTGTGGCCAATATAATGATTGCTAGGATATTTACAAGTCGGTTATGATATTGGTACAGGGGCGACTAGGTGCTATTGGAACCTAAAGCCAAACTTTTGTAAGAGGCCTTTAACCTTTTTCCTAAAAAAAATTCATATATGTTATTTATTTGAAATTTATGTTTCTAGCTTTTTGAAATGTAAAATTACGAATAATTATTTTATAATCAATTTCTTCTAATAATTCTTTTTAAATTGATAATATGGTTGATCCATTCAATCTCTCTTGCACCATGGTTGATCTTAAGTAAGATTTTATCAATTTTAATTTTAAAAAAAACTTATTTTTTAAATTTCTACTTTGTGATCGAAGGAGGCCAGAGGCAATTGTTACAAGAACTTTTATTACACCTTCTGTTTTAATTTAGATGACACGCTTTCCTTATTAGTCCGTTTCAAAAAGAATGACACATTTCTATATTTGGAAATAATTTAACTAAACTTTTCATTTTACTCATATTACTCTTAATAATAAGCTTTTATAGCAACAAAAATGTCATGACCCCATAAAGCATTTGCCCCTTAAGTTTTTAGGACCACATGTTTCAAATGTCTTTTTTTTCTAAAACTTTGTGCCAAGTCAAACTAAATCATCTAAATTGAAATGAATGAGTATTATTCTATAAGCACTTGAAAGAGAATCAAGTCTTTTTATTTGTTTTAGTATATCGATTAGAGTACTATCATCTCTTCTTTTTGGGATTGTATCAAAAATTCAACTTTTCTCTTTTTCTTAAGTTTTGAATTTCGGATTCATACTTTCCAATTGAGATATTTAAATTTTAATAAATACTAAAAGGATAATATATGTGCACGTATTGAAAATATCAAGAAAACAAACGCTAGATGAAAATTAATGCTGAAAAATTGGAATAGAAGCCCGTGACTCATTAACTTAACGTGGAAATAAATATTTATTGATTTCAATATACTTCTTGTAGGATTTAGCTTGATAGACGAAGAATGCAGAATAATAGTGTAACAATCCGGCCAGTTATTTTGAGAGTACTAGCCCCGATACCCTATTTACTGCTTCCTCTGTATCATTTTATGCTTATGTGACTTGATGGGAGGATTTATTTTTGGTTTTTGAGTGAAATGGGACACTTAGTCCCTATAATGAAAGCTTAAATTCTAGGAATTTGACCGTAGTTGGAACTGTGTGAAGACAGCTCCGGAATGGAGTTTTGTCGGTTCCATTAGCTCCGTTGGGTGATTTTGGACTTAGAAGCGTGTCCAGATTGTGATTTGGAAATCCGTAGCTTAATTAGGCTTGAAATAGCGAAAGTTGAATTTTTGGGAAGTTTGACCGGGAGTAAACATTTTGATATCGGGGTCGGATACCAATTCTTGAAGTTGGAGTAGGTCCGTAATATAAAATATGACTTTTGTGCAAAATTTGAGGTCAATCGGATTTGATTTGATAGGTTTCGGCAATGGTTGTAGAAGTTTGAAGTTTCAAAGTTCATTAAGCCTGAATTGGAGTACGATTCATATTTTTAGCGTTGTTTGATATGATTTGAAGGCTCGACTAAGTTCGTATAATATTTTAGGACTTGTTGGTATGTTTGGTTGAGGTCCCGGGAGCCTCGGGTGGATTCCGGGTGGTTAACGGGCTAGAGTTGAACTTGTTGGAATTGTAGAAAATCCGGTGCTTCAGTTGCTGGTTTCCGTCATCGCATTCGCAAGAGAGGTCTTGCGTTCGCGTAAGTTATCTGGGAGGCCAGCTAAGTTTTGTTCTTCACGTACGCGATGTAGTTCCCGCGTTCGTGAAGCTGTGGAGCATTGAGTCTACGCGGCATGAAGTTGTGGAGCATTGAGTCTACGCGTTCGCGATAGGTGTTACGCGTTCGCGTAGAGGAACGGTCAGATGGTGCTCCAGGCATTTAGCCTACGCGTTCGCGAAATGTCTGGCAAGTAAAGCTCCGTGTTCCGAGTGGTCCCTCACATTCATGTAAGAGGATTTTTGGTCAGTAGCTTTTTGTGCTTCGCGAACACGAGGCAATTTCCGCGTTCGCGAAGAAGGATTCTCCTGAGCAGATATAAATATTTCAAAATCGAGGGTTTGTCTTTTTCTTCATAACTTGAGATAGAGAGCTCGGATTGAGGCGATATTTTGAAGGATTTTCAGAGGAAACAATTGGGTAATGATTCTTTACTCGTTTTTTGTTATATCCCACTAATCTATCGTTAATTTCATCATTTAATTAAGGTTTTGGGTTGAGAAATTGCGAAAAGAGTGGGAAGTTCTTCAACCGAATTTTTGGGGTTCGATTGAGATTTTGGTATCAGATTTGAGTACGAGTGAACTCGTGGTTGAATTGGTGTTTGTATTTTGTGACTTTCACCCGATTTCGAGACGTGGGTCCGGTCAATTTTGGGGCGAATTTCTAATTTCTTGTTAAAGTTTTGATTCATTAACTAGATTAGTTTCACATAGTTATATTTATTTGTATGTAATTGCTTTTGGCTAGATTTAGGTCATTTAGAGTCGGAAAGTCGAGGAAAAGCCATTCTTACTGATTGATTGACCTTGGCTCGAGGTAAGTGGCTTTCCAAACCTTGAGTGAGGAAAATCCCTTTAGGATTTGGAATTGTTGTCATACTTCTGTGATATGTGAGTGTCACCTTGCGTACACGGGCTAATTATTATAAAATTCGGTTTTTACTGAGCAGTAACCTGTTACATCTTAATTGAGTTATACCAACATGTGTAGTTATCCTATTTAGCCTAATATCGCTTGTCTACATGTCTTAATTGCTTATTTGAAATCTGTACAACATGCTTAGTTGTTTTTCTGCTTTTCCTTGACTTGTATTTACTCTTAAAATGTAGGATTTCTTGGTGTAATTGTTGTTTCCATCAATTTTGAGTTGTGTGTTTACTTTTGGGACTACGAGGCGGTACCTCGGGAGATCCACGTTGCATATTTACTTTTGGATCTACGAGGCGGTTGTTACACCCCAGGTTTTCGTGCGTGAAAGTACACCATAAGTAAAGTAATGAAAGTCCGAAAATGAGATATTATATTTTTTATTTTCGTACGTTAAAGCTTCGTCGTAAGATTAATCGACGTAAATTCGGGAATGAGATTTATTTTGGGATTATAAGTATTACACTATTTATAACAAGCGATAAATAAGTGCTATGAAGAATAAAGGGGTACACGAATTAAAGAAAAGGAGTTTCATTGAAAGTGACCAATTTGGGATAAAATACAGGTCGAGCGATAATACCCGATAATTATGGATTAGTACCATACAAGGTACCACATGACCATAATAGTAAGGCGTATAAGGTATGTGAAAAGTGAATAATATTTCAAGTAAGTGGGAATAATTCTCAATTTTGCGGGTAATTAATAATTATCTAAAATATTTTAATAAGACCATTACATGGCAGATTTTGCCTTGGCAAAATCTATGACTCTTACACCTATTAAGATATGTGGCAAGATTTGGAAATGATAGACACGTGTCGTCTCTATGGTTGCTTGCGGACATGTCCAAATTTTCAGAATGGAGGGATTGTTGCATTTGATAATTGTTTTCACGATTGATGTCCATGAATCAACATAATACTCTTCATTATTTGCTAGTATCCACAAGCCTTAAAAAGTGATTCTCTTCAATATTCCCAACTTTTCACTAACAGACCCCGAAGCATATTTTAATTGAATGTTGTTGCCATAGCTTAAGGAGCAAATTTAGATTTACATAGTAAATGAAGCAGTTCTTGAATTACGAAAATCAAGTATAATAAGATGAAAATACTTAAGTTGCCATAGTCTCTTCCGTGGGCGGAACTCTACGGATACAATTTTGAGATCCGACTAACAAGGGATTGTGAAGAGAATCGGTCCAGGTATATTAAGGCTAAGCTCTTCCTTCATTTTGGCATGATCTCATCATTACATTCATATCCCGAAATTTACATATATTTTGCTAGTCTCGCAAGTTACAATATTCTCTTTATCGGGACTTCATATTCATTTGAGTATTTCATTCTTCCAGTCAAGAGAGTAGAGAAGTTATATATATATATATAGTATTAAAAGTATTTTCATTACCATCGAGCTATAATCGATGGGCAGGCCCCTATTGGGCAACCTCTGATCAGATGGTAAGTTATATACCGAGCCTACTGTGGTCGAGCGCTTATGAGCGAGCCTAGTTGGTCGAGATACAGAGCCTAGTATGGCCGAGCGCTTATGAGCGAGCCTACTACGACAGAGTAGTTATATATATACTGAGCCTATTGTGGTCGATCGCTTATGAGCGAGCCCAATTGGTCGAGATACAGAGCCTAGTATGGTCGAGCGCTTATGAGCGAGCC